CAGTTCTTAGCAATGCTGAGCAACTTAAAAAATGGGGTTTGCATCCGGGATCCCAGTGACTATTTTAAAGGGGCTGCCACAACATTGGGGTGCAGTGTGTGTGTGTGTGTCTGTCTGATTTCTGGTTCTGTCCAGTAGACCCCTTCCGCGAGTGTGTGTTGTGTGTGAACTGCCACCTGTGTAAAACGTTTAGCTAAAACCACAACAGTGATTCCCTTGCCTGTTTGTGTAGCTCCTGGAATCGGTGAAGGCAGCAGCACTAATGAAAACCCTCAGCCTCCCAGGAAGAAAAGGGCTCGTGTAGATCCCACTGTTGAAAGTGTAAGTATTTTGGACTGTCTGGGACTCTAGGTAGAGTTCCCCTTGTTAGGTTGCAGTCATTACACAGTTTGCAAGTCTTAAAAAAGAAAGAATATCCAAGATGTTTTGGATCCATCTCAGCCTTTGGGCAACTTCACAAGGAAGGGGGATAGATGGCAATAATATTTTTTTTCTTCAAATCCCTTACTTCAGTATTGGAGCAGTTAGTGCAGAATGCTGCAGCACGATTGCTGACATGAATGAGGCCTTGTCTGCATATAACACCTGTGCTCAGAGACCTGCACTGGTTGCCAATTTACTACCAGGCCAAGTTCAAGGTGTACAGAGCCCTTAACAACTTGGGACCAATTTATCAGCAATATCTCCGTACAGCATATACGCCCAATTTACTGCTTCGATCAGTGGAACTGCTGTTGTTACAGGTGCCACATAATACATGTTCCACATTTGTAAAAACTCTTTTAGTGCGGCAGGACTTACACTTTGGAACTCCCTGCCAATTGACACTAGGCTGGTGCCTTCACTGGACTGTTTCAACGCATGTTAAAAACATTTTTGCTTAGACAACCCTACACAGATAAGTTGAATGCTGGTGTGAATTTTAATCTGCTTTTCGTCAATTGTTATTTTAACTTTGCAAAAGCCTTAAATTATTGCTGCTAATTCTTCTTGATTGTTTTATATTTTTGTAAACTGCTTTGATATGTGGTTTCTTTTCTTTTTTACAATCAAGAAGTGTACAAATTTTATGAAACAAATAAGAAACGCAGCTTGTGGGAATACGTGAATACTTATATCGAGTGGCAATGAACATATTTTGCGGCTCCTTGAAACTTTGTAAGTGTCTTCATGGAACCACAAGAAACACTTGGCAGCCCTCCCTATAGGGCTGGCAATAGACAGCTGAGGTTTTCTTCCTTTTGCAGGCTTCTGAATGGTTGTGTCCTGCCGTCACAGTGCCAAGGTCTGTTCTCAGATCCTTGGATCTTGCTAGTAAGGACATCTCTGAATACAGAGGTGCAATATTGTTAAATTCACTGATACACTGTACATTTTCTGAGCCCCAATACACAACAATGTGCTTTGCTTGGTGCCAGTATCCGAATGCAGGCCTTGTGTCTTTTATTCTTCAGGAGGAGACTTTTATGAACAGGGTTGAAGTCAAGGTAAAAATACCCGAGGAGCTGAAACCGTGGCTTGTGGACGACTGGGATTTGATCACCCGGCAAAAGCAGGTAACTCTGAAATTGTGTTACTAAATGGACTGCTTATTTTTAAGCACCTGCAGTAACCTGAGTTGGTTGTTACGTAATGTGATATTACTGTTTGTTTGCAAGCTGCCTTTCAGCCAAAAAGACTCCCAAGACTAAATCAACACATAAAAATACAATAATTCAAGTACAATTGATAGAATTTCAAAATGTTTCAGCAGTATTACAAACTAAATACATCCATGCACCTTCCAAAAAGGCAAAGAACATTCCCTACAGAAATATTAAGAGAAGGCAAGAATACTTAAGAAGCATAGCTGTCAACTTTTCCCTTTTCTTGCAAGGAATCCTATTCGGAATAAGGAAATTTCCCTTTAAAAAAGGGAAACGTTGACAGCTATGTAAGAAGCATCTTTGCCTTACAAGGTCCCAGGCAGCGGGTTGCAGGAAGGCAGGTGGAAAACCTGGTGGCCCTTGATGGCTCCTGCAGATTATACTTCTAAAGACCGTAGTGGGGTTTTCCCTTGTAGGCTAGTTAACTACTTTCAGCCTTGCCATCTTGCGGTTGCAAAGGAGGTGCAAGTTTCTTCCAATTTGAAAGAAGAGGTTCCATGGAGTTGTACCTCTCTCCTGTCTCCAATCTTTTTTGTTCTGGCTTAGGCGCCTCTCGCTTTCTTCCTTAGCTCTTCTACCTTCCTGCCAAGAAGAACGTTGACTCCATTTTGGAGGACTACGCAAACTACAAGAAGTCGCGAGGGAACACTGATAACAAGTGAGGAGGGGTGGTGGTTGGGGGGGGCGCATCAGAAGGGCCCATTGTGGAGTATCTCTAACCAAAAGTATTGGTCCTTTGATATAAGGAGGCTGACCTCAAACTCTTTGTTTATTGCATTTATATACCCTCTTTTTTTCCAAGGAGCCCAAGATGGTATATATGGTTCTACTTGCTGCCCCCGCTCCATTTAATTCCCACAACAACCTTGTGGCTGGCTCAAGGGCACCCTGGTAGCTTCATGTCTGAGTGGGGGATTCGAACCCTGCTCTTTCAGGTCCTAGTTTGATACCCAACTGTTTTGCCGCACTGGCTCTATTTGCATGAGACATGTATGTTCTGCACAGCTGTTCAAAGCAGCTTAGTGTGTTTATATTTCTTTTCCTTGTTCTATAATGAAAACCCCTTCCAGTCCTGCAGGAAGGTTGGCTCAAATTCAGCATGAAGGTTTGGGGTTTTTTTGCAGCCATGCCTCAAGTAATCTTACAACCCAATTCAGTAGTTCTCTTCTCCCCCAGCCCTGTTTGAGGTAAAGTATTTGGGGGCTTGCTTTGTGTGAACCTGGAGGAAGAGGGTGCCAGGAATTGACCCTGGTCAATTGACCCATTGAACGCCTGACTCCATTTATCCACAAAGGGATTTTATAGAGTTTGCCCCACTGTAATATCCTGAAACATTTCCTGGAGCATTCTGGGACACAACTGAATTTGTAACTCTCCGAGGCCATCCAAACAAAGCTCTCCCTTCCATGCTGAAGAGGGCGACTGGATCCAACCCAGCCTTGATCTGGCAATAGCCGAATCATGGCAAAAGCATGGTAATATGCCATTTGCAGTGTCACCAGAATCCTGCTTTGTGCAAAAAAGTTAGTCCAGAATGTGACTGCCCAGTTTCAAGGTTGCCGTGAAGGCCAGGAGGCTGTGCCGGTCAAGGCAGCTTCCTTAGGGGTGTTGAAGCCCCCTACTGTGAGAAAAGATGATTTGTGCAGTGTCAAAAAAAATTCTAGGTGCTCTTTTTAATTTTTTAAAAAAGCGACTGCAGGCTCATTATTTTATGCATGCACTTCCACATTTCCCCCACAAACTGATTATTGCTAAGATAGGCTTCTGATACACACAAAAGGGGATGGGATGATGTCCATGCCCGAAGATCTGTAGCTTGGTTCTCACAGGCATCTGGTTGGCCACTGTGAGAACAGGATGCTGGGGAACAGCAGGCTTTTCTTATATTCTTATGCAAAGGCCAGCCTGGGAGCAGAGCAGATAACACCAGGGGGTGGAGAATATCTATGGCCCTCCAGATGTTGTTAGGCTTCAGCTGCCAGCACAGCCAGGGATGGTGGGAATTGGAGGTTCCCAGCTGCTGAGAACACACTGCAGATGTGCACAGATGGAGGTCAGCAGGAAATGAGGTGACAGCTAGAATTCCTAGAGCAGGAGGGTTTGGTGGCCTTGTCCATTTCCACCCCCCACCCCCCGTGGAACGCCCTCCCTTCAGATGTCAATGAGATAAAAAAACGCAACTTTTATAAGACATCTGAAGGCAGCCCTGTATTGGGAAGTTTTTAATGTTTGATGTTTTATTGTCTTTTTATATATGCTGTAAGCCGCCCGGAGAGATGGGTGGGGTATAAATGAAATATTAATAACAATAACGAATTCTTGTTCTGGCTATTGCTGACCCTGCATTTTTCTTGCTGTGCACCAGAGAATATGCTGTTAACGAAGTCGTGGCAGGCATCAAAGAGTACTTCAATGTCATGCTGGGCACTCAGCTGCTCTATAAATTTGAGAGGCCGCAGTACGCAGAAATCTTAGCGGACCACCCTGATGCGCCGATGTCACAGGTGTACGGAGCTCCCCACCTCCTGCGGCTGTTTGGTATGTACATAGTTTGTGGGACACAAAAGGCTTTTCCCAACCTGATAACCGTCGCTTTGGACTGCGACTCCCACCAGTCCCGGCCAGCATGCTGAGACCTGATGGGAGCACAGCCATGCTGCCTGAGGTTTCTGGGAGCTGCAGTTCAAAACATTTGGAATGCACCAGGTCGCAAAGTCTGGCCTGAAAGATACATTTTACAAATGTGGCCACAGCACTTTTATGAGGAGGCTGTTCTTTTAAATGCCAGTGGAAGCCGCTTCTTAGCTGACAAACGAGGCCGTCTCTTTCCAGTATGCATGTCCTGTTCCTTAGGTGCAGCATTCATCTTGTTTTTGAACCCATCGGAAAGCTGCACAAAGCAATTTATTGAATCAGGGGGAAAATTATAACAGACATAAGAATTATGTTGGGGAAAATTGAGAGTTGAACACAAAGAGCTATTGGAGGCCCAGGGTGTAGGGTGGCCTCATTGCAGAAGTTCATGTGAGTGAGCATGTGGTGTGATTTCCCCATAAATGAGGCCTTGGGAGCTGCACTGCTCTCCTTTGGGTGGAAGCCTCCAGCCCCAAGATACGAAATACCTTTGCTTCCTTTAATCATTTCTAGTACTGTGGGCAGTGTAGGATGAGTTGCAGAAGATTCAGCGAGGTCCCCATCCTGGTGCATCATTCTATTAGACCAGTGGTTCTCAGACTTTGGGGAGCTGCTGCCCGCTTGGTTCCATAAACTCACCCCCAGTGCCCCCTGCCCTATAAAAAGCATTGCTCAGGATAGCAGTTTGCAAGACCCACTAAGGAAGATAACACAAACAAATTTAAAACAGTGACCGTGTATTTAACATTTTTTCAATATCCAATTGAAACAATTTAGTTTAATACAACTAAATGGATGAACATGATCCACTGATACCAGCTTTTCAAAGCTTGACAGCCATTACATCTCCAGCACCCCCTTGCCTCTTAAGCACCCCTCTAGATAATGTCGCCACCCCCGGAGGGTGGTACCAGCCACTGTGCTAGACAAAACTGCCCAGGCTATATTGGGGGTTAGCAGCACCTACTAAGTGGACCTTTCATAACCCTCAGTTCCCCTCAGTGCTACTCTTCACTGTGTTCCAAAATGCTTCCTCACTTGTTTCTGACCCAGGAGGCTTTCCAGGCATCCCTGAAACTTCATCTCTGCCTTAGGATCACTAATGTGTCACTTTCAAAAGGCAGCTGCAGTCATGACCTGTATGATGTGGTGGCTGGACAACTCAACTGGAAATAGAGCGGGTGAATTTTATGAATTGTGCAAATGCTTCCCTTAACGTTGTCTTCTCCTTTGTCCTTAAATTACCGTCTGAACAGTCCGGATCGGAGCCATGCTCGCTTACACGCCCTTGGACGAGAAGAGTCTGGCCTTGCTGTTGAACTACTTGCACGATTTCCTAAAGTATGTACAATGGATCGCGTTTGATATCTGCCGAGTTGAGAGAGGCACCTTGATCCTTGTGAGAGCTTGTGTTTCGTACAAAGATGTTTGCATGGGGGTTGTGGGCACCTCCAGGGCTCTTCTTCCTTCTAGCGTGATACCAGGAACTGTGCTTTTATCTCTTGGCAAGCTGAAATTTTGATGGATGAGGGGACAGGATTAGAAATCCTCTTCCGTGGTCTCTTAGTCCCATGGATTTCTTAGAGAAGTGTGGCATTTTTTTCAGGCTTTTGAGAGGCAGCATAGATACAGCAAGCCCTTAATGGGCCAAATCTCAAAGTACCCACTCTAGTGACCTGACCTAATCTACTGCTGTGCCACAAACTTTTGCTGCTAACACAAGCCCCCTTGTTTTTGCTGCAGCAGGCAGTGAGCCCTCTGGGAATTCCTGTTATTATTACTATTATTATTTGTATCCCACCTGCCCTCCAAGGAGCTCATGGTGCTTACGTAGTTCTCACGCTTCCCATTTTATACTGACAACAACCCTGTGAGGTAGGTTAGGTTGAGAGTAAGTGACCAGCCCAAGGTCACCCAGTGAGCTTCATGGTTGAGTGGGGATTTGAACTCTGGTCTCCCAGATCCTAATCTGGCACACTAACATACTGGCTAGGATTTGCTCTGCCTTCTGTCTAAAGTCATAACATAATTCTGCTACTTAATATGGGCAGGTGAAAAATGTTTCCTCCCACAAGTGGGGAGAAAAAGAGATCATTGAATATGCAAAACCAAAGTTTTTGGAGAGGAGGTGATGACAGCATCCTTCTCTCTGAAATACTATATTTCTGTGTGAGTTAGTCTGAAGTGGTACCTGTGTAGGTGCCGAGGTTTCTGTCTGCCTGGGTGAGCAGTTGAGCTTCCCTTTCTTCCTTGCTTAAAGGCACAGCCCAGGGGTGTTCTGGCTGTCTGTCCTAGTTCTGCAAAATAGTGCAAGAGGGGGGCTTGTGGGGCTGAGGGGAAGCATGTGATGGAGCTGTGAGCTGGGTTTGTATGCCTGTCTCTCCACATTCCTTGCAAATCCAAGCTAACACAATAACACCAAGATTGGACACTGTTGTGGATTTTCTTAAATCAACCACACCCAGTTGTGATGTCTGAGATGGCTTGGTCAGAACAACACAGCAGTGGAGTCCGCAGGCCTATAAATTAAACAGGCTTATGTAGAGGCATTCCCTCACTTTAGCTTTAAACATGTGTGGAGTGTTATAGTCTGGTGATGACTAAGCAATGGCCTTATGGGACAGAGCAAAAGTGACACCCACAACAAGAACTGAGGAGAAACAGGGCCAAAGAAACATCTATCAGTGTTAGAGGGTTCCTTCACACATCTTCAGACAGCTTGACTCTTTTGCAACATCCTCTCCCCAAACCCATCCGTCTGCCAGCATTTTACCATATTTTTCCAGGTATAAGACGCCCCCTATTTTTTTTAACCCAAAATTAAGAAATTAAGTTTTTTAGCTTTTTGGGGGGGTGGGGGAGGTCACTTCCACCAATTGCTCACTCGCCTGCCCGCCACTGCCAATCGCTTCCCACAGCCACTGCAAATTGCACACCTTGCTGCAGCCGCCAATTGTCTGCCCGTTCGCCGCCACCAACAGCCCACCCGCCCACTTGCCACAACCGCCAATCGCCTTCCTGCCTGCCTCGCCACAGCCGCCAATCACCTGCCCATTTGCCACAGCCAATCGCCCGCAGACCTTGCCGCAGTCACCAATCACCCGACCAATCGCCGCTGCCAATCTCCTGCTTGCTGCTGCCGTTAATTGCACGTCCCCCCCCTCTGCATTCACTATCCGTGTATAAGACGACACCCAATTTTTGCCTTTTTTTTTTTAAAGCAAAAAGTGTTGTCTTATACACGGGAAAATACGGTATTTGTATGGCGCTTTCCTACAACAGTAAATATAACAACATGCAAAACAACATTTCAGTACTATAATAAGATTACATTAATAACACCCAACAACAAAAATAACAAGGGAGTTTGACAGTTTCACCTTGGTCCTAGAAGCTCCTCTATTGCACAGCTTTTTATAATGCTTCCAAAGACTGGGTGGGGCAGCTGGGGCACCCTTTCAACGCTTTCTTTCACTGCCCATACATCTTAGGCTATCAACTAAATAAATATCTCACTAAGCCCAACCTCTTGGCTTCCATGTGAGATTCAAGCCTGTTGCCTTCCCCTTCCTTCCCCGTCCGCAGGTACCTAGCAAAGAACTCTTCCACGCTGTTCAGCGCGAGCGACTATGAAGTTGCACCTCCGGAGTATCATCGGAAAGCTGTGTAAGCTTCTCACACTCATGGGGTGTGTGTGTGTGTGTGCGTGTGTATGACTGTATCACTGGAAGGGATCCTTGGGTCTCTGCAGCAGACCTGCCCAGTTCCACGTCTGCTCACGGTCTCCTCTTGCACACGTCTTTCTGCACAGCTGACATCCGTGTCAAGTGAATAGTGTTTTGTGTCTTCAGATGGAACTGTTGCCGCCCCACGTCCCAAGGTCGCTTTTCCTTCAGACGGATCTCTTTCAAGGGGAGAGCCTCCCGGAGCGTGTCATTGGATCGATTTTGGTGTTGGAATGTGGTGCTGGAAATGTGACGAAACGTTTCATAGTCTTGAGCCTCCTGCATGCTTTTAGGCCCATTTTCCCCCCTTGAAACAAGCTGATGATGGTTTGATGGTGTGTTGTCTTCCTCTTCCATCCCTCAACCCCTTCAAAACAAGCAAACAAACTCTTGCTTCCAACCGAGTGGGGAGGACCAAACGCAGATGTCTACTTGCAGCTTGGGAGGGGAGGGACAGGGTGGGGAGGGAGTTCATGTGCTTTCTTGGTGTTGGGAGGGTAAAAATGTGTGGGTTTAAGTCTGTGTTCTTTGCCTGCATAGCTGAAGAATTGTGGGGTTATCTTTTGTCTTGGGTTCAAATGCACCTTCTAACATAGGACGGATTTGCCATTGTGTCTCACAAGTTTTCTGAAATGTTTTTTTTTTTTTTTGTAGGGGATGTTTACAGGTCCCCAAATAAACTTTTCTATTTCAACTGTTAAAAGACGGGTCTGTTTTGCTGCTTGCAAAACCATGCACATCTTTAAAATGTGGTTTTATTCCAGCCATGCATATAGTAAAGGTAAAGGTACCCCTGCCCGTTTGGGCCAGTCTTGCCAGACTCTAGGGTTGTGCACTCATCTCACTCTCTAGGCCGGGGGCCAGCGCTGTCCGCAGACACTTCCGGGTCACATGGCCAGCGTGACAAGCTGCATCTGGTGAGCCAGCACAGCACACGGAACGCCGTTTACCTTCCCGCTATAAAGTGGTCCCTATTTATCTACTTGCACCCGGAGGTGCTTTCGAACTGCTAGGTTGGCATATAGTAGAGTCATATAAATGTAGAGTTGGAAAGGATGAGCATGAGCATGATGTACATGAGCAAACAGGTTTGGGAAAGAGGCACTTAAGAACACCTAAATGGTGATCTGGGAGCAGGGTGGTGAGTGAGAGCGATGTGCAAATATTGGTGGTGAGGCTACATTTTGGGAGGTGGCAAGGGCACAAGTAGCAAACAAGTTATCACCTAACACCTTTCCCCAGCCTGCTGCCCTCCAGATGTTTTGGACAGCAAGCCAGCCTATCTGGGACTGATGGGGCTTTCAGTTCAAAACATCTGGAGAGCACAAGGTTGGGGAATGCTGACCTAACGTATGAGCAGTAGCTGCAGAAGGGGCTTATTGAAAAAGGTGAAAGGCCATGTGAGAAGGGGAGGGAGGGCAGTGAAGCTAACAAGGACTGAAATAATCTGTGTTCTTAATTATAATAATTTTATTATTATTTATATGCCACCCATCTGACTGGGTTGCTCCAGCCATTCTGGACGGCTCTCCCCAAAATACAAAAAACACAATAAAACATAAAGCCTGAAGACTTCCCTATACAGGCCTGCCTTCAAATGTCTTCTAAAAGTCAAATAGTTGTTTATTTCATTGACTGGTTTTGTCCTGATTGGCCTTGGACAATGTCGTTTAGAAGTGGATAGTTCTTAACACATTTGGTCACCTGAGAAGGGAGTTTTCTCGGGACTAAGTAGATAATGGAGGGTATCTAGATCATTAGCTGGGCGTAAGTGTTCTTGCCATGAGTGGTGAATGCAAAGGAGTGGGATGCAAAAGGGGTTCTATGTGGGTGAAGGCTTGTACCCATAATTGTCTGCTAGTAGGTGGCCCATGATCTGTTTAACAGTGGTTTACAGTAACAGTGGTTTACGCTCAGGAATGGAGCATCCTCAGAGCCCAAAGTAAACCCAGTCAGGGTGTACCTTGGGTGGCTGGATTGGGTTAGAGGACAGCTAGACAGAATGGGATGTGTGTTTTCTGCAGATCTTGCACTCTTAGTCCTTCCTCTTAACACCAACTGGAGGTCAGCAAGCACAGGCTGCAACGTTCCTCAGCTTTTTCTCTGCACACTGTCCTGGGCAACTGGAAACTTCAGAGTCCAGGTCCTAAAGGACACAAGAATACAAGAGCAATCTGCTGGATCAGGCAGAGGGGGTGGGGTGGGAAACAGACTATCCACTTTCTCCACACCATACATAATTTTATAAACTTCTGTCATGTCACCTCTTACAACAGTGACCTTGAGCTCCCAGGAACCAAGATATGGAATATACTCCTGCAATGGGTCTTTGGATGAAATCCAGTTCTGTTCAGCGGAGCTGTTTCCAGAGCAGAAAAGATTGGTTCCACCCTTTTTGGTTGAAGAGCCTGGTATAACAAAGAAATTATCTAAATAAATAAATTGCAGTTTCACTGGAGAGTGAGATGGCCATGAAATCCGTTGCCTCTTTTCTCCCGTCTCTCACTGGCCCTTTGTCCTCTGGCAGTGCCCTATATAACTGGAACAAAAATAACCCTATTCCTCATTTGTATCCTTCAGATGTTCCTGAAATAGGCATTGCTTGTCGCCTGGACCTGTCTCTGTCTCTCTGGTGGTTGAGGCTAATGGCACTAGAGTGTGGAATGAAAACGTTGGGTTATGGGAGGCTTTGGTGGTACAAAATCCTCTGCAGGTGGACTGGGGGCCTTTATCCCTGTGAAATGGCCTTTTATCCAGGCTTCCTGCTGCCCAAGGCCACCAGTCA